TGATTCTCCGTTGGATTTCAAGGCTGACATTATTATTGGTGTTAATGCTGGTTCCCAAATAAACGAAGTTATTTATCTAATAATAATGCAGCACACAACCCTGAAATCTTAGAAAAACTCTGAGGAAGGCCATTAAATAGCAGCACACAACCCCGTGCCTTCCTCAGGAGCGAATATGGCTACAACAACAACGATTACTACAACAACAACCCAAAAAGGTTGGCTACTGTCTATACTGTGGTTGTGAGTGATCGCGAATGGATTATTTGCATCGTTTTTCTCATTTATGAGGCCGACATCGGCAATGCTCGGACTTCTGATATTCGAGCGAGCGGAAATTTCTTTGCTTTTTTCGATCGCGAACAAGGATGACGAAAAAAAATACTTACCATCCACTTAAAAAAAAAATTTACCAAATCTGGAAAATATCCACCAATAATTTTTTTTTTGTTATTTTAATAAAAACTATAGTCTTGTAAATTCTTTAGTTATTTCAATAAGAATTAAAATTCTTTTTGAGGAACTTTTTATTTAACTAGTTATACGGTATTTGAGATTATATTAACGGCATATTCTGAGTTTCCTTTAACCAAAAGCGAAAGAAATGAAACTTAAAGCATTCGTGGTTGGTCATCATTTGAAAAAACTTGAACTGGAGTTATTATAGACAAATACAGCGATTAAAAAAACGCTTGGTGATTTTTTTTAATATTCACAATGTTTTTCAAGTAAAAATTTGCTTTACCCAAACACATAAAAATCAAGGATTCCAGCTATATACAACATTTAGAAAAATTAAAAAAAAATCGTGTAAATTTCGAACTTTTTACTCTGAATTTTTAGACCAATTAATGTATGGAATTTTATTTGATTATAAACATGTGCAGCTAAGAATACCCCTTGGTTTTTTTTCTTGTAATTTTCTTGCCGCTAGTCTTTTGTGGTTTTTATCATTTAACAATTGCCATTGATAAATAATGGCGTTGATTAAATTATTTTTGCGAACAACCATAGTGCATAATTACATAATACTATAATAATAATCATTTAAAATATTTATGCAGTTAAAAGCTCCTCGGGATTCCACTAAAATGACTTTTTAATGGAGCACGATATGTTCGCCTTATATCGATATATATATATATCGATATTCATACGTAATATAAAAAGCATTCGAAAATTAATGCAATAAAGTACACTACACTTTTGGAAAGAAATTTACAATATAAACATAACTACGAAAAATAAAGCGAGAACGAAAAGTTCAACAAAAATCTACCAAAATGAGGAAAAATCTACCTTTTTACCAACCCAATTTTTTTCTACCAATTTTGGTAACAATTTACCAAAGTGGCAACCCTGATCGCGAATGAAAAGCAGCGGAAATTTTTTTGTCGATCCATTCCGAATGTGAGAGATGAAAAATTTGTCGCGATAAAAGAATGCAAAAATTGATTTGGAATATTATCGATCGCGAACNGAAAAATCTACCTTTTTACCAACCCAATTTTTTTCTACCAATTTTGGTAACAATTTACCAAAGTGGCAACCCTGATCGCGAATGAAAAGCAGCGGAAATTTTTTTGTCGATCCATTCCGAATGTGAGAGATGAAAAATTTGTCGCGATAAAAGAATGCAAAAATTGATTTGGAATATTATCGATCGCGAACGTGAGAGAATGTGAGTGAGAATTTCCGAACCCTGTATGTTGGCCTTTGGCTACAGCGGCCAACAACACATACCGGTTAGAAAAAAACAAACCGGCACGCGCAATCTCAACGCTTTTATTTAGGTATGGCACTCAGTATGGCAATCACGCCATACATATGTAAAGGCTGCATTCCAAAACGTCAAAATACAAAGCATCAGTCTCTTTTATTTCTAAACCTCAGTAGATTGTAATTCCAAATGTGCGAAACCTAGGTTAGCTGCTAGTTTAAAACTAGGTTGCGCAAGTTAGACTTTTTCTTCTAGTGCAGTTTAGAAATAAAACAGACTGATGCTTTGTATTTGGGAACCAGCATTAACACCGATAATAATGTCAGCATTGAAATCCAACGCAGAATCACTCTTGCCAACAAGTGCTACTTTGGACTGAGTAGGCAATTCAGGAGTAAAGTCCTCTCTCGACGTACGAAAACCACGCTCTATAAGTCACTCATCATGCCCGTGCTGGTATATGGCGCAGAAGCATGGACAATGACAACATCCGATGAGGCGGCTCTTGGGGTGTTTGAGAGAAAGATTTTGCGGAAGATTTACGGTCCTTTACGCGTTGGCGACGGCGAGTACCGCAGACGATGGAACGATGAGCTGTATGAGCTTTACAACGANTTTGACAGTTAACACTCTTTCTCTCAGGAATGCGCAATCTTGTATTCTATCATTCAACTCCGATGAGGCGGCTCTTGGAGTGTTTGGGAGAAAGATTTTGTGGAAGATTTACGGGCCTTTACGCGTTGGCGACGGCGAGTACCGCAGACGATGGAACGATGAGCTGTATGAGCTTTACAACGATATGGACATAGTGCAGCGAATTAAAATGCAGCGGCTCCGCTGGCTTGGCCATGTAGTTCGAATGGACACCGACGCTCCAGCTCTGAAAGTATTCAACTCAGAACCCGCTGGTGGTAGCAGAGGAAGAGAGAGGCCCCCACTGCGATGGAAAGATCAGGTGGAGAAGGACTTGGCTTCACTTGGCGTTTCCAGTTGGCGTCGCTTCGCACAGAGGAGAAACGACTGGCGTGTTTTGCTGAACTCGACCAAAATCGCTTAGGTGGTTACAGCGCTAAAAAAGAAGATGCTTTGTATTTTGACGCTTTAGAATGCACCCATACTTGAAAATAGATAATTGCGTCTGGGTCAAGCTGTTTATAGAACTTTTCTTTTTGTGTGCAACTCAAACCGACCTCCGTGCTTATTCATACCAAAATTAATTTCGCGGAACCCCGGTGACTTTCCTACGGAACTCTTGGGTTCCTCGGAACACACTTTAAGAAGCTCTGATCTAGAAGTCATGCCAATGTCATCTGAAGGTCAAATTCAGAAGAATTGTATTGAATTTTCAGGTTTGTTCAATAAATTTTTCCATATTTGACCCTCAAATGACCTCAAACCTGACGTGGTGGAGGCTAACAGACCTCGGATTCGCATTCAGAGCGTCGAATAAAATAGGGATATAGAGGTTTGGTTGAATATGCAGAAACTTTTTTTTTTGTAAACCTGTTTTATTATGCTCCAATTTTTAATTTGCGTTCAAAAAATAATACTTAATCCTGAGTTTTTTTACTTATTTATTTAAAAGAGAACTAATTATAAATAACTAATCCACTTGTAAGATTAAGCACTGGCTACCAGGGCCTTCGGCTCACCATGAGTTTTATTTTTAGTTTACAAAATAATTGCTATCTGATGAGTTTTATTTTTCGTCAAAGAAATATAAATTCTCTGGTAGTTTTAATTTTTCATTCAAGAATTAAAAGTTATTTGGTGAGTTTTATTTTTCAATTACAAATTAAAACTTAAGGCTTGAAGCTTTATTTGTTTGTTTTGAATGCTTGACTTCTGCTTTGTGAAAGAAAAATAAAACTCACAAAATAACTTGTTTTTTAAACAAAAAATAAAACTCACCAGGTAATTTTTTATTTCTTGAACAAAAACTAAAACGCATCAGATAAAAATTATTTTGGGAAAGTAAAATAAAAATTTTTGAATAAAGGTTTATAGCTTGGGGTCTACTGTGTAATGCGCTGCGAATGTAAAAATGATCGAATTCGCAAAATCCGTACTCTGTAATTTGACATTCGCATTGAAATTTAGGCCTTTCGCAATTATTTTTCCCTTTCGCATTGGTAGCACTGTGTATTGCGAGAGCGAGTGTCAAACGGTAGTTTCATTCGCATTTTTACTGCTACAACTGAGAAGCATTCGCAACGTTTAAAAATGTAAGTTTAAAATGCAAATTGTATACTTTTATAACTGAAAATACATGTATAACAAATTTTATATAAAAAGTATATACGGAAAGTACGAAAACGAAACAAACGCAGAAAAAACAATTCGAAATCCTCGTAGATTTCATGGTAACTCATCCGGAATTGGCCAAGGGGTTGATGAAGACGCCAAACGCTAAAACCGTTTCCACCAATCTATGGAAAAGAGTTACTTCGCAGCTAAATACAGCTGGCCCACCGATGCGCGACATGGTCGGTTGGAAAAAAGTAATTTCAGCGCAATATGTATACAAAAATTATTTTGAAAATGTAATTTAAACATCTTTTAGGTTTGGGCTGACTACAAACTACATTTGAAGGCCAAAATGCGTCGGAACAAAACAAATATTTCGGGTACAGGCGGTGGCCCTTCTACTTATACCCAGCTCACACAATTGGAGCAGCAAGTGAGTGAGTTACTATCAATGGAACAGTCGGTGAGCGGTGTAACAGGCGCAAGGGAGTTTGGTATAGCGCAAACCGTGACCGAAATACCAATTGAATGTCAAGTAGTCTATAGGTGATGCAAATGATTCTGTTGAATCCAACTTGCATGAAAATGAGGAAGGTATTTGCAATAATGACGTGCATACTCCGCGCAAAAAGTGGAGTCTTTTAGAAAAACAAGTGGAAAACCAAATTACGTATCAAAAAAACTCCAGCAATGTTTTAGGTGAAATTAATGGCAATTTGAAAAAAATATTCAAAACAATGAAGAAAAATACAAAAATCGAAAAGAAAAAGTTGAGTCTAGCACAAGAACAATTTCTCCACAAACAAAAATTGAGACTTGAAGTAAACACATTAGAAATTAAAAAGCAAATGTTGGATGTGGAATTAAAAACCAACAATGTACATTGAAGTATTATTACGTTTAGAGAATTTATTTTAGATTTTTTATGTTTGTATATCTTATTTACCTTATTTTAATAAAAGAGCGAAGTGATATTTATTTAAAAAAGATTTTTTTTTTAATTTTGTGTTAAATCAAATTTGCAGTGGCAAACATATAATTTTTTATTTGATCTCTTATACTTCTAGCAATATTTCCAAAACTATCATTTTCCATATTGTCTACATTAACCGCGGATACTTCTTCTGGTTCAATTTCGATATTGAAGGGGTTTCCACATTGTACAAAATACAAATGTTGTGAAGAGCACAACATGCATTAAGTATTTGCACCACTTTTATTGGAGCATAATGCAGCTCCCTTGCGGCTAAAAGACAACGAAATCGTCCTTTCAACACACCAAAAACTCTTTCAATTATCGACCTTCCTTTCGACAATTTCTGATTGAAGATGTGTTCATCAGAATTTTCCGTAGCACTTCTATATAGGGTTAAAAGCCATGGCTCCAGCGGATATTCTGAGTCTCCTGCAGAAATAAAAATATAGGAATTTATAATAGTATAGCAGATACATTAAAGTAGCAAACAAACGTGTTTGTATATTTTCATAAGTACGGTAAAACCTGTCTAAGTTATTAGTACTTTTGTAAATACAAATCATGCGTATTTTTGAATACAAGTTATACTAGTGCTTTTGCATGATAATACAGGCGCTTGCATGTCGACAAATCTACTATATATTTGTGAAAGTATGTATGTACATATGTGCCAGATTGCAGTCTAAACGGACGGACAGAATCGAACAAAATTTTGACAGAGTATTCCCATTACACCTGGGCCTATAATAGGGTGAAAAAATTGGGATCCGACAAGGGGGCGTGGCACCTCCCATAGGCGTGAAATTTTTAATCAGCCATAACTTCCAGACCATAAGTCACATGAACTCGAAACTTGGTATGCAGACATGTCAATGGTAGATGCTTATAGGTGAGTATATATAATCAAGTTTGTAAAAGGGGGCGTGGTACATCCCATAGGCGTGGAATTTTTTATCAGCTATAACTTCGGAACCATAAGTCACACGAACTTGAAATATGGTATGCAGACATACCAATGGTAGGTGCTAATAGGAGTGTATAAATAAGCGAGTTTGTAAAAGGGGGCATGGCACATCCCATAGGCGTGGAATTTTTTATCAGCTATATCTACGGAACCATAAGTCCCACGATCTTGAAATTTGGTATGCAAACATGTCAATGGTAGGTGCTTATAGGAGGGTATATATAACCGAGTTTGTAAAAGGGGGCGTGGCACACCCCATAGGTGTGGAATTTTTTATCAGCTATATCTACGGAACCATATATCACACGAACTTGAAATTTGGTATGCAGACATACCAATGGTAGGTGCTAATAGGAGGGTATATATAAGCGAGTTTGTAAAAGGGCGCGTGCCACATCCCATAGGCGCGGAATTTTTTATCAGCTATAACTTCGGAACCATAAGTCACACGAACTTGAAATTTGGTATGCAGACATACCAACGGTGGGTGCTTATAGGAGGGTATATATAACCGAGTTTGTAAAAGGGGGCGTGGCACATCCCATAGGCGCGGAATTTTTTATCAGCTAAATCTACGGAAACATAAGTCCCACGAACTTGAAATATGGTACGCAAACATGTCAATGGTAGGTGCTTATAGTAAGGTATATATGAATGAGTTTATAAAAGGGGCGTGGCACATCCCGTAGGCGTGGAATTTTTATTCAGCCATAAATTGGGAACCATAAGTCACATGAACTTGAAATTTGGTATTCATACATAGGTATCTAAATATGGGAGGTGTCCAGAGTAAAGTATATATAAATGAGTTTGTAAAAGGGGGATATATGTACGTGTATATATTTATCTATTAGATAACTCGGATATTTAAAACTGTGTTTTTTTTTTGAAACCTTACCGTCTTTAAATTATTTTGAAATGGAAAGATTAAATCGTTTTTTAATCTCGCGATGCTGTTAAACGAAAAAGGTGCGTTCATAATGAATAAAACTCCTTCCGAATTAAGCATTCTACTAGAAAAGTGCAGCTAAATAAAACAGCTAATCAAATAGGCAGCTAAACGGAATGTACCGTAGTAGAATAATTTTAATTTAGAAATTTGATCGTTACCTTAATCCATCTAATATTAATAATGGAACAAAATTTTTAGTACAAATGATAATCAATATATATTAGTTATAGCACGATGTCGGCCGCTGTGGTGTAGTGGTTAGCAGTGCGCGCTTTCACTCATCAGCACCTGGGTTCAAGCCCTGGTCAAAGCAACATCGTTAAAAATATAGAAAAAGGTTTTTTCTTAACAGCGGTCGTCCATCGGCAGGCAATGGCAAACCTCCGAGTGCATTTCTCCATGAAAAACATGAAACACAGCTTCTCATAAAGATACAATCGCCGTTCGGAGTCGGCGTAAAACTGAAGGTCCCTCCGCTTTGTGTGACAACATCAAGGCGCACGCCACAAATCGGAGGAGAAGCTCGGCCAAACACTAACATATGTGTAAGCGCCAATCTATCTATCTATATAGCACGATAAAGCCAAAAGTATGGCTCCTAAGGATGCCTTAATGTGAACAAAGAAAATAGTTTGTCTCCTTTAAATTTTATTTATATTTTGATTTGTTTACCCCGAACGACGTCGGGTGCTCTGCTAGTCTACTATATATTTGTGTAAGTATGTATGTATGTATGTGCCACGTTGCAGGCTAAACGGACGGACAGAATCGAACAAAATTTTGAGAGAGTATTTCCATGACTCCTGGGCCTATAATAGGGTGAAAAAAATTGGGATCCTACAAGGGGGCGTGACACCTCCCATAGGCGTGAAATGTTTAATCAGCCATAACTTCGGAACCATAAGTCACATAACCTTGAAATTTGGTATACAGACATATAAATGGTAGGTGCTTATAAGAGGGTATATATAAATGTGGTTGTAGAAGGGGCGTGGCACATCCCATAGGCGTGGAATTTTTTATCAGCTATAACTTCGGAACCTTAAGTCACACGAGCTTGAAATTTGGTATGCATACATATCAATGGTAGGTGCTTATACAAGGGTATATATAAACGAGTTTGTAAAAGGGGGCGTGGCACATCCCATAGGCGTTGAATTTTTTATCAGCTATAACTTCGGAACCATAAGTCACACGAACTTGAAATTTGGTATGCAGACATATCAATGGTAGGTGCTTATAGGAGGGTATATATAAACGAGTTTGTAAAAGGGGGCGTGGCACATCCCATAGGCGTGGAATTTTTTATCAGCTATAACTTCGGAAGCAAGAACTTGAAATTTGGTATGCAGGCATGCCTATGGTAGGCTCTTATAGTGTGGCATATATAAATGAGAGTGTAAAAGGGGGCGTGGCACATCTCATAGGCGAGGAGTTTTTTATCAGCTATATCTACGGAACCATAAGTCCCACGAACTTGAAATTTGGTATGCAAACATGTCAATGGTAGGTGCTTATAGGAGGGTATATATAAACGAGTTTGTAAAAGGGGGCGTGGCACATCTCATAGGCGAGGAGTTTTTTATCAGCTATATCTACGGAACCATAAGTCCCACGAACTTGAAATTTGGTATGCAAACATGTCAATGGTAGGTGCTTATAGGAGGGTATATATAAACGAGTTTGTAAAAGGGGGCGTGGCACATCCCATAGGCGTGGAATATTTCATCAGCTATAACTTAGAAATCATAAGCCCCATGAACTTGAAATTTGGTATGAAGGCATATCAATAGTAGGTGCTTATATGAGGGTTAATATAAGTGAGTTTGTAAAAGGGGGCGTGGCACATCCCATAGGCGTGGAATATTTCATCAGCTATAACTTAGAAATCATAAGCCCCATGAACTTGAAATTTGGTATGAAGGCATATCAATAGTAGGTGCTTATATGAGGGTTAATATAAGTGAGTTTGTAAAAGGGGGCGTGGTGCATCCTATAGGCGTGGAATCCTTTATCAGCTATAACTTCGGAACCATAAGTCCCACGAACTTGAAATTTGGTATGCAGACATATCAATGGTAGGTGTTTATAGGAGGGTATATATAAACGAGTTTGTGAAAGGGGCGTGACATATCCCATATTCGTTGAAAGGTTTATCAGCTATAACTACGGAACCATATGTAACATCAACTTTAAATTTGGTATGCAGTTATATACATATTTGGTAGGTGCTTATAATAAGGTCTATATAAATAAGTTTGTAAAAGGGGGCGTGGTGCATCCCATAGGCGTGGATTTTTTTATAATCTATAACTTCGGAACCATAAGTCCCTCGAACTTGAAATTTAATATGCAGACATATCAATGGTAGGTTCTTTTAGTAGGGTATATATAAACGGGTTTGTAAAAGGGCGTGGCACATCCCATAGGCGTGGAATTTTTTATCAGGTATAACCTCGGAACCAAACTTGAAATTTGGTATGCTGGTGTAGCTATGGTAGGTGCTTATAAAAAGATAAATATAAATAAGTTTATAAAAGATGGCGTGGCAAATCCCATATTCGTGAAAATTTTTATCAGCTATAACTTCAAAACCATAAGTGACATGAAATTTAAATTTGGTATGCAGACATATCTATGGTAGGAGCTTATAGTAAGGTATATATGAATGACTTTATAAAAGGGGACGTGGCACATCCCGTAGGCGTAGAATTTTTAATCAGCCATAAATTGGGAACCATAAGTCACATGAACTTGAAATTTGGTATTCATACATAGGTATCTATGGGAGGTGTTCAGAGTAAAGTATATATAAATGAGTTTGTAAGAGGGGGATATACATATATATATTTATCTATTAGATAACTCGGATATGCATATATATATTTATCTATTAGATAACTCGGATATTTAAAGCTGTGTTTTTTTAAAACCTTGCCGTCTTTAGATTATTTTGAAATGGAAAGATTAAATCGTTTTTTAATCTCGCGATGCTGTTAAACGAAAAAGGTTCGTTCATAATGAATAAAACTCCTTCCGGATTAAGCATTATACTAGAAAAGTGCAGCTAAATAAAGCAGCTAATCGAATAGGCATCTAAACGGAATGTACCGTAGTAGAATAATTTAAATTTACAAATTTGATCGTTACCTTAATCTATCTAATATTAATGGAACAAAATTTGTAGTACAAGTGATGATCAATATATATTAGTTAAAGCACGATAAAGCTGAAAGTATAGCTTAATGTATGCCTTAATGTAAACAAAGAAAATAGTTTGTTTCCTTTAATTTATGCTGAACTGAATATTTGTATTACTGTTTTATATTTTGATTTGTTTACCCCGAACGACGTCGGGTGCTCTGCTAGTTACATATAATCTCTGAGAAACCACTCATGTTAGTGAAGGTTGATTTATACTGGTATGCATACAGCTGCAAGTTCATGGCACCAACATCGAAATTGTATGCATACGATTTCTACTTTGCCGTGCAATATCAAAAAACTTACCAAGGATTTGTGTATTGTTATCTACATTTTCGTATTTGGTGTTCATATAATCACGTTCGTTTGATAAATTCCATATGTGAGAATCGTGCGACGCACCTCCAAATGTACCATTAACAGCCCTAATACGCATTTTGTGGTCACATATCTTAAGTAGAAACAAATTTACTGGTTAAGTAATAGTTAACTTATTTCAATGAAAAACGCGCTTACCACCATTGCATTTATGCTGTGCTTTAACTTCCTATTGAAAAATAAATGTTCATCTTTTTATGGCCTTATCAATTGAATGTGCGTTCCATCTACCGCTCCAATTACTACCGGAATTCCACATGCCGAGTAAAAACTTCTGCTGGCATCTAATTTCTCCTCATTCGTCATACAGCACCTTCTCGATCGCTTTGCAAACTTCAAAAATGCAACTAGAAACCGTTTGCTGTGCCAGCTCTGCATGACGGTCTTGACCAATCAAATGTTGGTCCCCACCCTGAGCAAGAAACCTTAAGGTGCTGGAAAGCTTTATCATTTCGGGGATTGCGGTGGACCTTTGCGCAACTTTTAGCTCATTTTTAATGTTATTTAGCACATATAAAAATGCCTCTTTAGTCAGACGAAAATTCTGCACAAAACTAAATACCCAGAACAAGAACATAGTTTAGTGTACATTTTAAATAAAGCATTTTAGATCACCCACCTTCTATCGCTGAGGCTCATAACGTTGGAATTATCTCTAATAATTCTCCTCTCAATCCTTTCATCATTTGAATCGTCCCACAATGCCACAGAGTCCATTTTTAAAACAAATATTTTAATTACTTCTTCAAATTTTAGTTACTTTGTTTGTTTTGATCTCTCTTTCTTTGACACTTGTGCTCACTATTGCCAACTTAAGCAAGAAAAAAACCAAAAATAAAAGAAGCAACATTGTCAGCGATGCGATAGCAATACAGAGTGCCAAATAGTTTTCGCATCGCATTTCATTTTCGCATTGCATTGCGTTACGCATTGCATTACAGAGTAGCCCCCCTTATCTGCGTAGATCTGTGAACAACGATCAATTTTATATAACACATCATATCGCCCACCTAGATCTAGTGAGCTAACTCAAAATCCAGACAGGGAAATTTAACTGCTTGTGGATCGAACAGATTCAATGCAATTAATACAAAAACAGGTATAACAGTAGTTTTTTAGTTAATGTATATAATAATGAAGAAAAAAATATTTCCATTAATTGTATGTGAGTCCTATGAATTGATTTATGCAAAAAAAAAAAAATCGCACAAATTTTTTTTGGAGTCGATCGCACTTTAGATATAGGTGTGCGATATGTTCTGGACACCTCCTTAACAAGGATTTCTTAGATACAATTTTGAATCAGTAACAGTTATTTTCGATCCCTGCTGGGATATATACATATTTATATGTAAACTTTCTTTTTATTTAATAGCGTACTTACCCACAAGTTCATACCCAAAAATTTATAATACAAAATCGCGTCAAGGGTATTTATTTCCAATTTAATAATTTGAACCATTACACACCCAAATTTAAAGATTTCAAGTGCAATGAACAAAACACATTATTATTTTTGTTTTTGTTTTTTCTCTACACTTATGTATACGAATTTGATTTTGAAATCTTTATTAGATGTTGTAACGGCAGTTTTATCCATAAAATAATAAAATGTTAAAAGTTTAACTATGTGCTTAGAAACTAATGAAAATGTATACATAGACGAATATGTATTATGCAATTGTTTTTAATTTTTGTTTTTGTTGTATTTTTTCCGTTTTTGGATGTTGGCTTTCACTTTACCTCGTGTTGCGGTTTAAATAATTTTATTTTTTTTATTTATGTTGTTTGTTTTTAATTATCTTTAGCATTCTCGGGTTGTCAGCTATTAAATTCTTTTATCATTTTCAAATGTATAAAGAATTAAAATATGTATACTTTATTATGTACAGTTCGCTTAGGACTGCTCATCCACCAGGAGCATGATCTGTTGAGTTGTTGTCTGAGCAGGATTCCTTGTACATTCCACTTGATGAGCGTTCCAATCTTTTCGTTGACAGAATTCAGAGCAATACGGAGTCTTTCGACAAAGGGAACACTCGGCTAAAGCTTCTCTGTTGCAGTTAGCACACTAATTGTTGGAAAATTGGTATCATTTATGTAACAATTATAAAAATTGGAAATAGCAACGTCATATCGATGGCTGAGTGAAAGATCGACTCTTATCTCGGCAGCCGGTTCGAAAACGCCCTATCTCAGAAAACTTTTCAAGAACGCCCTACTTCAGAATTTTATTGAAAAACAACGTATTTCAGAATTTTATTGAAAAACACTCTATCTCAGAATTTTTTTGTAGAACGCCCTATCTCAGAATTCAGTTCAAAAACGCCCTATCTCAAACGAAAATACATTGAAAATAAGCTGAGATAGGGCGTTTTTGAATCGGCAGTTGAGATAGGGCGTTATTCAACCAAATTCTGAGGTAGGATGTTTTTCAATCAAATTCTGAAGTAGGGCGTTCTTGAGAAGTTTTCTGATAGAACGATGTTGAAAAATTTTCTGAGATAGGTCTTTTTCGAACTGGCTGCCGAGATAGGTCGATCTTCCACTCAGCCATCGAATTAAATTCGTTAAAAAGTAAATTTGTATTTTTAAAAATAAAACTTTTACCTTCTTTGCCGAAATTATTTCGTTGCCATGCAAAGAGCCAGAAATATTTGGATCCTCAAGATTCCGCATGGCAGCCACTGCTGCATCACGCTCCTTCTGCAAAATTTCTATCTTCCGATCATATGAATTTTTTAAGTCGGTCAGGATCCGTTTAAAATCATTTGTGGCCTTCACCATTGTGCAGTAGACATTCTCTAGATTTTTCATTGCTTGGCTGTTATCCAACAAAGCAATTGAACTAGTGTCGTTTATATTGACTACGTATGTCTCGCGATCATAGGGATTAATTTGAGATTGATCAACCAATTCAGTTGATGTGTCGAGACTGTCATTCAATGTGGGCCATGGTTCGTCCTTTGATGTGATATTATCTTCAGTTAAAAATATGTTGTTTTCATCTACAACAGTTGCAGTCGGTGGCGGTTCCGCATTATTATTACTGTTGTTTGGGTTGTTATTACGCTTTCGCTTCGGTACCGAATCGACGTCAAGATCCGTCTGGTTCCGCTTCCGGCGCTTGTAGGGAGTAAACAAGCGAACCGGTCCGGATGCTAATAACAAAAAAATATACATATTTTTTATTGGTTCGGTAGATCAATTTTCATAAAAACTAATTTTTCATAACTAACAGTCGCACTCAGAGTCATTTAATCATTATTTAAGGTGTTCCTCAGTAACGATTTGAAAAAAATCCCTCTCAGAGTCAGTTAATGATGCGTTAACGGCATTTAATGAACATTAAAGTTAAGTAAAGAAAAAGCTTTACTTAACTTTTTAACGAATGATTGTGAAATTTTTTGTTTGCTTCCAATAAATTTCAATTTCGATAACGTTGCTGCAAAAGTGGCAATGGCCCAGTGAGCAGAGCACTTTTGTGCCATTCGAGAGATCCGAGTTCGATCCTCGGCAACGGTTTTTCTTTCTATTTTATATTCTTTTCTTTTTTCTTTCTCAAATTCTTAGTTTTTGTTGTTTAAAAAATATTTTTATAATTTCGTTTAGTTTTTAGAAAACCTATTGCTAAACGACAAAAAGAATAACGCTACCCTCCTCTTTAGGAGATCTTTTAATTAGTCATTCGAAATACAGAAAACAGCTTTCAAGATAGTTGCCCGAATATAAAATCTTTTGTCTTTCGAAAGAGTATAGTGAGTTGAAGACAGATGACAGAATTGGCCAGTTAGTGGTTTTGTCTTTTAGTAGTTTCTAAAAATTAAATGAAATAATAAAAATATTTATTTTTTTAAGCAACAAAATGTAAGAATGAAAAGAAAAAATTTAATAAAAAAAAACCGTTGCCGATGATCGAACTCGGATCTCTCGAATGGCACGTCAGTGCTCTGCTCACTCAGTCATTGTGACTGTTGAGGCAGTGCGGCGCAAAATGATATAAATAGTTACTTATTTTTATTTTATTTATTTCAAGATTGCCGAAAAAAGTGAGTGGTGCCACAAAAAAGGGCCATACTTAAATTTTTCATCCTTTCCTTTCCTTTCCTATTACACATTACACATTACATAATTAACTGATTTAACGATCATTAGTTAAGTGCCCGTTAGAGTTAATTTNGTTACTTATTTTTATTTTATTTATTTCAAGATGAACGAAAAAAGTGAGTGGTGCCACAAAAAAGGGCCATACTTAAATTTTTCATCCTTTCCTTTCCTTTCCTATTACACATTACACATTACATAATTAACTGATTTAACGATCATTAGTTAAGTGCCCGTTAGAGTTAATTTAATGAAGGTTTCTGAGTGCGGCTGTATACTTACAACGCCACAACAAGCTTTTCAGGCTCTCAGCTATACAATTTAGCTATTGCTGAAAGCCTGAAAAGCGTGGAGCGCCCGAAAAGCTTGTTGTGGAGTTGTACTCTAATAGCCGCACTCAGAAACGTTCCTTAAATTAGCTCTAACGGGCACTTAACTAATGATCGTTAAATCTGTTAATTAATGTTTTCTCTCAGAGTTAAAAATTATGAAATAAAAAATTTAAGTATGGCCCCAGTTGCGGCCCTTCATTTTTGTGGTATCACTCAGTTTTTTCGTTCAGTTTGAAATAAAATATAAAAATAAGTATTTATATCATTTTGTACGCACTGGCTCAACAGACGCAATGGCTGAGTGAGCAGAGCACTGGCGTGCCATTCGAGAGATCCGAGTTCGAGTCCTAGGGCAGTAAGATTTCATTTTTATAAACTATCTTTATTGATTTTGTTTGCATATTTGATCTAATTTTCTTTTGATTTATAGATTTTATTGCTGTAAAAAGCAAACAAATGTTTTTCAATTAAATTAAATTTTTAGAAACTGTTTGCTAAAAGACAAACCAGACCAATAACAGGCCAATTCTGGCATCTGTCTTTCAACTCACCTCAGTCTTTCGAGAGACAAAAGTCTTTATATTTCGGCAACTCTTTTCTAAAAACTAAACGAAATGAAAAAAAATATTTTTTTAAAACAGTAAAAACTATAAATTTGAGAAACCGAAAGTAAAAGAAAAAAGATGAATCAAAAAAGTTTCCAAAAGTTAAATAAAATAAAAAATGTGAATTTTTTAAGCAATAACACTAAAAAAAAATTATTAAATAAAATTCGTTCCCGAGGCTTGAACTCGAAACTCTTGAATGGCACGAAAGTGCTCTGGGCCATTGGCCATTGTTACAGCAACGTTATCGATATTGAAATTTATTGAAAACAAACAAAAAATTTCAAAATCATTCGTTGAAAAGTTAAGTAAAGGTTTTTGTTTACTTAACTTTAATGTTCATTAAATCCGTTAACGAATCATTAACTGACTCTGAGAGGGAATTTTTTCAAATTGTTACTGAGGGACACCTTAAGTAATCATTAAACGACTCTGAGTGCGGCTGTAAGACCTTAAAACTTAAAATAGTCCACATCTCGGGGCACAGTCACCCTGATTTGTTTTCTTCAAGATCCGAGCTTATATTTTCACCTAACTAATGTTAGGAGTTGACTGTTAGCTTTGCGAGGAGTCAGACAATATTTTTGATGATTGGCAGTTGCTCCTTCCGGCGGTGAAAATGATAAGGAGCGGGATGTCCTTGAATTATGTGCATAAAATGCCTCTAGAAGTCTTTTGGACCGGGGTTTTCCATACACTGAGATTATAGTTTTAAATATTACAATTGATATGAATTGAAGATTTTCAGTGTAGCTTGATAAAACACTAAATATCAGCTGATTGCCAAAAAATGCCTACAGCTGAGATCACCCGTGTTTGGCATTTCCTCTTGTCTTTTACAATTTATTTCATTTCTATTACAATTTCTTTTATTTCTATTACAATTTAATCAAAATACACTAACACACTGAACCAAAAACACACCTACAGCCTGCCAGAAAAAACCGTAAGAATAAGAGTTACCTTACTTATGGAACTGTACGATGGTTTATAGTATACAATAT